TTCTTATTTGCGACCAGCTTATTGGCTAGAACCAGGGCTACCAATTAGCTATGTGGTTTCGGAACTTAAAGTAAAACATGCAGCTTCAGCTTACCTCCGCCAGCTTCTTATCCACGATGCCCTCGAAGTTGAGGAGTATCCATAGAAAACCGGCCGTCAAAAGAGCGCAAATGACCGCAAAGACAGCAATGATAATCAGACACTTCTTTGATTGTTTGCGCATCATTCTGAAGATGAAATGTAAAAATAGGTACACACACGCAGGTTAATGCAAATGCCACAGTCTTGTTTATGTTTATCAAGTAAACAAGCAAGAATATTTGTGTTACTAATAGGCTGCCTACCGCTTGTGCTGCAGAGAGGCGACTGCCGAAAGAGGCACACGACTTGTATTTACTGCTAGTTGACTACTAATCTCCTGACGAAAACTCCGGTGGGTAGCTACTTCGAAAATCATTTACTTAGCGACCATTTGCGCTTGTTCGCGCTCACTATTCCCAAGAGGCGTCCAACTGCTGTATATTATTAGCCCTGAATTAGACCGTGTTACACGTCTATCTATCCACGTCTACCGACGACAGTTCAACTGTTGAGTTCGATAACGTCTACCGTGTGCTTCAGCGGACTGTAAGAAAATGCGGCGACTTGCGCGTGAGTTACTTTCAAGTAATAGTAGACTTGCGCTGCATCGACCGCACTCTCTCTCTCTCGTTCTCTCTCTCTTTCTCCGCATTTAGGAATACCACCACCCACACCACCACACTTATTGACTCGCAACGAACACATGAGCCGCGTACTATCATAATGGCAAAAGGATGGAAGCGGCGTTAAGGCACCCAGCAGGAGCCTCTGCGCCACGCATCCTCTTATACGCCACATGGTCACAGCCTACACTCGACCAGGATTTTAGCACAACAATAGGATAGGGACACCAACTCGATCCACGCCTACCTACGCGCCAACTTAACCCCAGTCCATTGTTTCGTTAGAATTAGCATTGGGTGCGGCGTTAGTAGAGTCGCAGAGGCCGTCGTTGCCTACTGCTTTTATTTGCCTGCTGTTTGTGATTAATCGCGAGGAGACAGCTAGGAATTAAACAATAGTCACCGCTACTTGATATGTGAGAACTTCGAGTGACACAGCGGTCGGTAACCAACTCGGAGTAAAACCGGTTTGGTGGACAATTCCAGGGAGAATTTAACTATAAGCCAGCAAAGTCGTGGGAAGATGGGAAATTTTACGACTTTGCCCGTTTTTTTTTCCCAGCTCGATGTAAACATGCGCTGCATGGACAGGGTGAGAAATGTTGACTATTTCGGGTCGTTGGAAACGCCTACGATGAAGAAAACAATGTATGCGAAGGACACTGTCAATCGATGAGGTAGATGTGGCACCTGAAACAGAGCAGGACGATAGACGCAAAAAGTGGCACGAATTTATGGCATATAGCTTCTGCGCAACACACAGCTTCCACCGCTGATAGTAATTAGTGCGAAACGGCCCGGTCGCCATTTCGCCGTTATTTGTGGCAGCCAGCCGGATCATTAACCGGGTGCATTAATCTTGTCAATTCTGCCAGTGGAAGCAGCGCTGGGTCGCGCATGAATAACAGGCAAAGTCTGAGGGTCGCAAATAGCGGGGAATGGATTGCTGCATTTGAAAATGGACTGCGCAGCGGGGAATCAGGGATCCGACAAATTCCCGCCCACGAAAACTTTCGCCTCTGCCAGCCTGACAGTTTGAACCACAACTAGCCAGTTTGCGTAATTCACCCTCACTGCAAAATGGTCGAGTAATCATCATGTCAACCACCATTATCGATGATGGGAATATATGTAGTGACCTAAATCTGGGTGTATGCGCATTCGCAATGTGCAAGCACTAGTGTCTGCATACCCCAGTCTGGTCAATCACCTTCAAGGCTGACTCAGACAGGACATCACGATGAAGACTACCACACTCACACACTTTGGACGCTGCCCCTCGCGGGCGCAGGCGCATCCTCGTCCGACTGTCAACTGTTATCAAACCTCTTCTCCACTACTTCTGTACATCCTCACACCACTAGGTCCTCC